AAGTGTGATCTTATAAGACCTCAAAGCACTCTTAAAATATGTGATCACAATTCCCTATCTCACTCTGGCGCGCGCTCGCTTACTCTCTTGCTGTGTGGCTGAATGAGGGGTGGCGTGTGTACATAAGGGTGCGCGCGAGTTATTTTATTGGGGCATCAATGCACACACACTTACACTTATACAATCTACTCATAGAGAAAAAAAAAATTATATCACATAATTTAAAAAAATTAATTAATTATATTAATTATGTTTAAAAATAAAAAATTAGATTACAATATCCTTTATTAATTATGTTAATTAAGTATTTATTAATTATTTATTATGGTTATGAATGATAAATATTTATTGAAAAATGTGTCACAAAGTGTATGTATACACACAAAGTTGGCAATTTAGTCGAGTTTATTTAGATTGAACTTATGTATTTTACCTCTTAAGAAAACCTATTTAGTCAACTCTGACTCTTAACTTTTTTCAAGTAGGTTTATGTTGGCCCATTAGGTTTGGCTTAATTACTAGCTCTATATATATATAGCTTTATATATATAGAGAGTCAATAATTTTAACGATCAATTTTATTTTGGGTCAAATTTATTCAAATCGGGCTTAAAATATCATAACTTTTTAAAAAGCCAATACAATCAAGCTAGGCTTTAACTTTTTTCTGGTGTGTTTGGTCTAGCTTGTTTGGTATCGCCTGAATTATTGACCCTACACACACCCCCCCAGACATATTCACATACATATTTCCAATCCTTCATCCACTCTATATATATATATATATATATATATATTATTTATTATTAATATTACTATTATTTTTTTAAAAAATAAATTTTTATAGGGTGAATACTCTTTTTTTTCATTTGGCTTATTTTCAAAATTTCTAAACTTCAATAAATTCTCAATAATTTTCTATGTCCTATAATTTTCTTTCTATATTTTGACATTGCTTATAATTAATTTATTACCTAGTGATTGAAGTCTGAGATGTTAAAATCAACTTTATGATCAACTCAGCGTTCACAAGTTGGAATTTTCAAAATATTCTTTGATATTTAAGATCTTATTTGGTTGCTAGAAAGGAATGAATTGAAAAAATTAAAACAAAAATAAATTAAATCACCTTCCCTCCATGTTAAATATGATAAAACTCATTATTATATACTATAAATATAGGAATCATCACACCCTTCAAAAATATTATGAATTATCAATCAACTTAGCACTCACAAGTTGGAATTTTCAAAGATTATTTGATCTTCAAGGTCCTGTTTGGTTATTAGAAAAGAATGGATTGAAAAAATTAAGACAAAAATGAATTAAATTACCTTCCCTTCACGATAAATATGATAAAACTTATTAATATATACTATAAATGTAGGAATTATTACACCTTCTAAAAATATCATGAATTATGATTTTCAACTCTATGAATTAATTACCTATCTCTTTTAATCATGAATGTGCTTACTTATCTCATTTAATTATTTTATTTTTATATTTATTTTTTTAGTTTATTCTATTCTTTTCTATTTTAGGAAGCAAATATGATCCAAGTGTTTCCTGCTTCTCTATTTTTTTTTTTAAAGGAAGCAACAACTTCTAGTTTGTATTGTGTTACCTTTATGCATATTAATTTTGTTTTAAAAATTTTCTCATATATACATATACATATACATATACATATACATATATATATACATATATATTGGTAGGAAAAAAATTGTCTCATATATTGTTTTCACCGCCGGTGCTTGGTCCCCGTGATCTTTCCATATATATATATATATATATATATATATTTTACAAAGTCATTGCTATATGAAGTATGAACAGTTACAAATGATCCTTCTCTCTCTCTTTCTTTTTTATTATTATTATTTTTTTAGCAATTGAAAGGCAAATATCAGCTTAAGAAATTAACAAAAAATGACAAACTTTACAATATTTAAGATGATCTAAATTCAGTGCTGATCATGAATCTAAAATATTGATGAAAACTGAATCCTAAAAAGAGAAGTCAGATGGGAGGTGCACTCTACTCTTGGTCCAGCTTACACATCAAACTAAAAATCTTATATTTAAATTCAGATTTAAAGTTAAAATATTTTTTTCTTTTTATATAGGGTTAATGAACATTTTACATCCTAAACCATTACACAGATAGCATCATAAATTTTAAATTCCTGAAATATGTTAAGACTTTCTTTAATTTCTAAATTTTGAATGCTTGAAACCTCACAGATAAATTGAAAAAAGGATAATTATTTTTATAATTGTAGGGTACTTAATGTATTATTCATACTCTTAAAAATAACAATAATTTTTGTAATTTAATGAAGAGAATTCGAGTGCTCAAACTTTAAAAATTGAAAAGAGTTCTTATAATTAATAAGTTTAAAATATAATATGTTATTTATATAATAATGTAAAATTTAAGATGCTCGTTGCTGCGACCAACCGAGAGAAGCCAAACGTACTTGGGTGCGCCAATGTTGGTGGGTTCACACCGCTATCATGCGCTACAGCTCATCCCTCATTACCCTCTGCTCCTCTTAAACTTTCCCTCTATAAACTGGGTCCCACCACTTACATGGAACCTTGGTTTCCTGAATCGGTGAGTCCTGTGCTATTTTAAACATGATTTATTTTCGGACGGAGATAATACTTAAGAAAAAAAATTATTAAAAATGAACTGCATAATCTTTATATAAAGTAATAGCTTTTTCTTATTACTGTAATAAAAAATTATAAAAATATTTTGAGAGAATGACAATAAATTTAAAAAATAAATAAATTAAACAGTTAAATGTCAATAAATTTTTTTAAAATAAATTATAAATATCAATTCAAATACTTATAAGGGAAAATGATAATAGGGACTCTCTGAGAACATTAATATCAATTAAGGATCATAACATTTTAAAATTTCAGTTAAGGATCACGGTCCTTAATTGAGATAAAAAAAGTATAGTTTGTGAGGTAGATTTTACTAATGTCACTTGGAGATTTACTAACCTAATTTAAAAAAATTACTAACGTATATTGTGAAAATTGAAACCTCACTTAGAAATTAATTATTTAACAAAAAGTGTTACTTAAAAATTCACTAACCTGACTTGAAAATTTTTTTAATATATATTATGAAAACATAAAAGCTCACTTAAAAATTGATTGTTTAATAAAAAAACCTCAATTTAGACGTCACTTTTTGTTAAATAATTAATTTTTAAGTGAGGTTTCATTTTTTCATAATATACATTATAAATTTTTTTAAGTTTGGTTAGTGAATTCTCAAATAGCATTTTTTATCAAACAATAAATTTCCTGGTGGAATTTGATATTTTCACAATATACGTTAAAATTTTTTTTAAGTTGGGTTAGTGAAATTTTCAAGACAGCTTTTCATTAAATAATCAATTCTTAAGTGGGGTTTTATATTTTTACAATATACGTTAACAATTTTCTTAACTTGAGTTAGTAAATTTTCAAGTAGCGTTAGTGAATCTCACCTCACAAACTATATTTTTTTATTTCAATTAAGAACAATGGTCTTTAATTAAAATTTTAAAATATTATAATCCTTAATTGAGATTAATATTCTTAGAGGGTCTTTAATTGTCATTTTTCCTACTCATAAATAAAAATTTGAATTGTAATGTAATTGTATTTAGAATTTAAATATCTTATTTATAATTAAAATTTTTAAATTTTTAATTATTCAAAATGATATTTATAATTATTTTTTTAAAAAATTTTGTCAAGGACATATCTATCATTAATTTTTTCTTTTACAACTTAACTGATATTCTCTCAAAGATTTTAAGATCCCTGTTTATTATTTTTGTCAGAGATAATGTTAAAAATATAAACTCACATTTTTTTCTCATTTTATTAACTTTATTTTCTCTTACCTCTTGATATTTTCTCTCTTTTTTTTTTTAAATTAACTCAAAATCTCAATTCTTTAAGAGAAGTGAGCACATTTAAACTCTCTTTGGTACAGGGCATTAAATTTTAAATAATTGAAAATAAAATTGCGGGTGAAATTGGGAGTGAAATTAAGTTGTAAGACGATGTTTAGTGTACATCATAACATCATGAGATAAAAAACAATACAACACCCAGATCAAACAACAATCAACTAAAAAGACTGAATCACCCTAATTTCCTTCCTTAATCAACATGGCTATCGTGCTTATCTTTCGAAGACCTCAATTACCTGTCCTTAACCGTATTCGACAGAAAGACCTAATTTTTCTCTTAAATTCACAAAACTTAAGGTTTAAAAGTTTGCTTAACGGTGTTTATTGAAAAAAAAAAAAAGAAGTTTACGTAACGGTACTTATATATCAATGAATTATATTGATCAACAGTCAGCATTATTTGTTTCTATGAAATAATTTTGAACTACAAAAATTTTATGAGTTAAAGTGTATTTTTATTCTTGAACTTTTCTTTAAGGAGTAATTTTATTCATGAAATGATAAATGAAGTAATTTTATTTTTAAACTATTTTTTTAAAGAGCACTAGGCATTTTATAAAAGGAATTTTTTACTTTTTGAAAAAATAATTCTGAAATAAATTTGGCCCACTTATTAGTGTAAGGATAAAATTGCTCTTCGAACAAAAATTTAAGAGTAAAATTATATTTTAACCTAAATTTTATTTATTTGTTCCAAATTTTTTGTCATGATGTCAATTATATACTACGTGTGTGTGAATTAAGAAACATATCTATATCTATATATATATATAAGAAACAATTTCAACAACACAAAAATTCCAGTCTCCTCAAATGCTCATATTTGAATATTGTTGTTCTCTAAATATAATTTGGCTTTTAAAAAAGTTTAACGCGTAATTTTTTTCTTACCAGAAATTATCGTATCTTTTTGGCGGGGTCTCTCTCTCTCTTCCTGAGCGTGGACTGTGGAATTTTCAAAAGCAAACGTGGCTTGCGTAACCCATTTTCACAGCCCCACTATGTCCCTCTTCCTTTACCTGCAATAGTGTAGTGTCTCTCTCTCTCTCTCTAGATTGCGGTCATATATTGATACAGTTGCATCTTGCATATATGTAACAGAATTTCAGGACCTATCATTCTGGTTTAGCTTTCTCAGGCGCCTTTTACCTTGCTTTTGGGGAAGAAAAAGGAGGATTCAAAGAGTTTTTTCATGTAAAGAACCCAGTTTCTTGTGTTAAGTTTCTCTGGTATTAAACATTTTTGTTTCTTTTCTTGATGATTTTCCTTTTCCTCATGTTTGCATTGTTATTTATTTTTGGATCAATTTTTCGGTCTTTTGTTTGTTTTAGGAATAATTCAAGTTTGTAAGATTCTAAGAATTGAACGTGATGCTCTGTTTTTTATCCTCAGTTCTTCTTAACTTTCTATCAAAACAACAAAGAATGAAGTGTTGTTTAACTGAGTTTATTGTTGTTTTTGTTCATGTAATTTAATATTATTTAGTAATCATAAATAATCCTAAGGAATTAGGTATAATAATGCAAACAGTTTATGAATTTGTTTGCTTCGACGCCTGCCATATTAGGATTCCTCTTTTTTTTTTTTTTTTTGGCTATTCTGTATGTTTTTGTGCCGTCGATTCATGAATTTAAGATATACTCCTATAAGCTCCCATATTTTAGTTGTCTGCCAATGTTTCACTATCAGAGCTACGTGGATTGATTTGTGTTGTTTCTGAGGATATTAATATTTAATTACTTCGTCGTCAGTTGAACACTGCAGATTGTGAGAGAAATTGCCTGCCATTAATGCGCATTAAGTTTCGTTCTTAGACAAAGAAGATGGAAAAAACGTACTTATGTAAGGATGGGGAATTATCCAATGAAGACTCTTCGAGTTTTTCCGATTCACAGCTGAAGAAGTTGGTGAAAGGGGCTAATTCTCGCCGTACCATAGTTGTAAATATTGTTCAGTCACTAATCAGTAAGGATTTTTCCCCCTTCCATGGCCAATTACATTGCAAGATACCGAAGAATATGGTGAGTGTAGATGAGAAATTTCTTCGTTGCTGTCTGGAATTCATTCACATGAATGGATTCAAAGGAGCTCAGAGAGACTTAGCTGTGAACTCAAGATCAACAAATATGCGAATTTTACCGGAAAACTTGGATCCAGGTCAGTTTATCTTTGAATGTCCAATGAAAGATGGGATTGGGAGTGTAGTCATAAGTGCTAATCCTGTACGATGGAGCTTAAATTCAGTTATGAGGAGTAAAAGTATGGTAAATATTTTGAGTAGCCCTTTGTTTCACCAGTTTGGTGCTTCAGATAAGAACGAAATTTGAGCATGATGAACTTTGCCGATGCTAAAGGATTAACACGTTATGATTACATGGACTCTCCCGGTGGTTTGAGTATTTCTTCAGAATATAAACTTGAAAAAGAAGTTCCAATTATGAGAGGCCAAAAGTTTGGCTCTATGTCATCTGTTCATGGAAGGCTTGCTTCTACCTCGAGCACGAACTCAGATGGATTATCTTTTGATTCTCCTACACCTTTTCAAGGAATGCTTCAATGCACATGGAGGGAAGGAATTCCTCAGTTTGTTTTCTCTGCAGATGATAAGAAGGAGATCTATGTAGCCAATTCGATGAAGGTAGGAAAAGATAACAAAGCTTTGGACTATGTGTACCTGATTCATTTGGACAAAGGTGAGCAAAGGGGCCGTGAAATTTCTGATAGTAATTCCCAACTTGTTGGTAAGATGAATGTATCATCATGTTTCACGCTCGACTCAAACAATGAAATCATGGAAACTGAATTTGTTTTGTTTGGTGACAATGAAAATTATGATAAAGAACTGTACTGTTCAAGCCATACACAGAAAAGAAACAAGGGGCTATCTAGGAAATTGTCCCATGTTTTCAGAAGTCCTTTGTCAAAACACACAACACTCTCAAAGTTTGATGAACTGGAAAGTTGTCCATGGGATCCGAATGCAAATAGTGGGGTCAGTTTGTTAGAAACTAATATTCCACCACATTTTGAGATGGCTGCCATTGTTGTGAAAGACCATATTCCTTGTACTCGGCTAAATAAAGTAGGAGGTTGGGGTTTAAAATTTCTCAACAAGTCTAAAGTTAAGCAAACTTCATCACTTTGTGAAAGCTGTACGAGAAGCACGGGTGATTGCTCAACTAGTATGAATGTCCTAATTCCTGCTGGTATCCATGGTGGACCAAGAACCAGATATGGTGGTCCATCCAGTCTTATTGAAAGATGGAGATCCGGAGGTCACTGTGAATGTGGTGGTTGGGACGAGGGATGTCCTCTGACAATATATCAGACAAAATTGACAAAAGCAGAGGTTCCTTCTGAAGTAGATACGCAAGGCGAGAGCAAGAGCGTTGATTTAGTTACTCAGGTATCTTAATCTCCTCATGTTGTACTACTACTGCATTGAGTGTGGCAACTGTTCGAAATTAGAATCTGTTTTGGCCACATGTTTCTGTTTTTCTGCATGATCCTTGATCCATTTCTTATTTTATTGTTGATGTTCTTGATATTTTGATCTCCCTTGTATTATCATAATTTGACATTATGCATGGCATAACTAAAAAGAACTGTTATAATTTTTTCTGACAGTTTTGCCATGTATTACTATGTATACTCATAAGGAATGACTACAAATGTTTTAATTGTTGCAAAGGCTGATATACAATAAATGTGATAAAATTTTCTGATAGTTTCCCCCTAAACCTATGCCATTTTATATTCCTAAATTTTCGACATTAGTTCATCTATAATTTTAAATATGCTTTCCTTTTTGTCTGATTATTTGCTTATTCCTTATGTGACTATGAAATGAGATGACTCTCCTCATTTTCAGGGTTCAAGGGATTTTATCCCCACTTTGAGGATGGTGAACGTTCGTGATAATTTATACTTAATCCATTTCCTGCCACCCTTATCTGCATTGCAGTCACTCTCCATCGCAATGGCTATAATTCTCACACAGAGCTCTATTCTCCGATCCAGTAGTGCACAGAGGTTTTGATAACAAAAGTTAAAAACTAAGGTTCTGTTGCTTTCATAATTTTCTCATGATTGATGACAAATTAGGTGTTTTTTGTGCATGAATCAAATATTTATTCCTATGTTAAGGTTGTTTATATAGTGTTAGAGGTTACATAGCTCCGGTCTCCATACTTTCCACTTCTGTTCTTGTAGCCATTTTTGTTTCCCCTTCTTTGTGTTGATTGTCTTCAAGGGATGTAAAAGCTTCTTGACCAACAGTGACATTGGATTAGCCATATTTGACAAAACAAGTAGCGCACAGATTAGCAACAACACTGATAAGCTATTTGATGATGGCAGTTAACTATGAATTAATTTGGTCTACTGTGTTTGCAAATTCAGACTGAGCGGCAAATACCTTTTCATTCAACTTTCAATTGGATCATTCTTTGAACATGTTATCTTTGTCTTACAGCTTTTTTTTTTTCCCCACAAGATTAATTGGTGATATAGGGCTTAAATTCTCATGATAAGATCTTGCATGAAACAGGGTACTGTTCTCTGCCGTTTCATCAAGGTATGTGATGTAAATGGTTATTTAAAATATTTCCAATTTGATGATGTTAATTCAGTTTTTGGACTTTAGAATCAATATCATCAATGTCAAATATAAAATCTGCAACAAACTGAATTATTCATAAATTGTGAATGGTTCAGGTTATTCCTTAAAAAATCAATATATATATATATATATATATTCATAAGTTAAAGTATGATCTTTCACATGCACCAAGGTGTATGCGAAGTTCATATTTGAATTAGTGTCAAAATATTCACTGATGCTTCAAGTATTGTCCTAAAGTGGGAATTTAATTTATAGTTCTTTTATACACTAGTGGGTTCTAAATTTTCGGGGGAGAAAATGACTAGTTTGAAGTAACTTTTGGTCCTCTTGTAATCTAGATGGTTTGGATTTCTTCTTCCATTAATTGAAAATAAAAAAATCATTCCTAAAGGATTTAAACCATTGAATGGTCAAATTTTACTCAAAATGACCATCATTTTTCGACTGTGCACTCTCTTCTAGTTGGCAGAAAAATGAGTCATTTTGAGTAGAATCTCATCAACTATTTGATTTGGATGTTCACATCTGTTTGAAAAGAGTTTTTTTAATCTTTGATGTAAAAAAGAAATCAAGGCAATCCAGATTGACTGAGTGAATAGGATTTATATGTTCAACCAAAAAAATGGAAAAAATAATTGGAAAATAATGATGTTTTCTCATTGATATGAGTAAGTTACATATATACAAAGCCTACACTTAATGTCCTGAGATACTAGGGATCTAAACAACCTATATAGAGAGTATCATACATTAATCGCATTTATTTGACTTTTTTTTTTTTTGTTGGGGAACTTCATTCAACCGAATGTAAACCAATAACAGAGAACAAAGAGCAAAAACAACTCAGCAGGACAGAAAAAACAATATATTTGAATTTTATATTGGGTAGATTCTCCATTAACTGCAATATCTATATTAAATAACACTCCTCCTCAATTGGTGCATAGATATCAATCATGTCCAACTTGTTAATAATGTCATGGTGAGCTTGGAAAGAGACAGCTTTCATAAGAATATCTGTAAGTTCGTACTGTGGCTATATGTAAGGGAAGCAAATAAGGCTGATGTCAAGATGGTCCTTGATGAAGTGTCTGTAAACTTCGATATGCTTTGTATGGTCGTGTTTCATTGGGTTGTGAGCGATTTACACAGCTGTTATTGTCAAGGGGTGGTTGTTCCTGATTTTGTTTGATTTTTCTGATTGAGTGGTTGTGAGCTAGTGATTTTATGTCAAACGTTGGTTTAAAGTTGAAACAAACACCACAGAAAAATACTATGTAATCCTACTTTCTCTCTTTTTCACATTGTTATATCTTTGAATGTGTGTGGTGCTTATCCCATGAAAGTAATATGTTTACATGGCCAAGGAGAGTTGATCCATTTTATAAGAAAACAACTCATATCGGTAAGAGCATAAATTTGAATTTCTATAACCTTGTCAGTAATTTGTAAATACATCTATAAACATAGCTAATAAAATAAGCTCACAATATCCAACTTATTAAAACTTTTTCTCACTTAAAAAACTTGATAATGAAACTTTTTTAACTTTGCATCAATTATTGATTTAATCATTTAATTTATTTTTATCAATTTAATCTTTATGATTTCTTAAATGATCATATTAGTCCTTTAAATTTTAAAAAATTAATTTACTCTCAAATTAATCGAATGTGTAAAGTATTTTAATGATTTGACATGCATATATAGCTAAGTTAAAATAATTTAGCCTGCAAATTTTTTAAATTTTATTAATATAGTCAATTATCCTGTGTTTTATGTTTTTGGTTGTTAAAATTGGAGTCTATTTTTTCTAATAAATAATTCATTCTTTTCATTAATCTACATGACTGTCATCAATATTTTATTATCCATGCTAACATATTTTAATAGTGTTACCTTCTATTTAAATAATAAAGATCAAATTGATAATTGAAATAAATTTAGAAACTGAATTGATAAATATTAAACTTGATGGATTGAGACTTAAAAAGTTTTGTTATTGAAAAAAATCCTACACTGTATTGTCATTATCAAATGTTATCAGCCAAACTTTGTAGTTTTCAAAAGGTTAGGCGAGTAAGTTTTGGAGGGTGAAACACATAACATGTGAATGTGTAACCTCAAACAGGCACAAGAAAACAAACTGGAAAGAGAAAGGAACTGACAACGATATATTGATGACTAGGAAAATTGGATGCATTCATGGATGATCATATTCATGTGACCCTTGCATAGATGAATTTAGACGTACATGCATATACATATACTAAGACAAAAGTACGATGCAACCAAATAAAGTTGAGTTTAGTGAAATGAGTTAATCTCTCACAATCTGATGAACCTCAAGTTCGAATATTTATTAGGAGAGGTGTTTAAATTTAGTACTCGATCATGTTTTGATCTAAATATCTCCAATAAGAGAATATGTAGCAGTAATTTGAAGAGAAAATTTGGATGCAGTCATAGTTATTTATGCTACACTCATTTTGCCATATTTCAATGATATACAACTGGTGAGCTAGATCTTAGTCTTGTTAAGGATATTTGAATGGTTGAAATTGTTAAAAACTAATCAAGAGTTGATAAGTGTTCAACAATCAATAAAACTTGAGAACATTACTTTTTATTTTTAGATATATAAATATAATATTAAATACATTTATTTGATTATGCAAGCAGTAAATATGTTTACTAGAGAGTTTTGTATAGATCATCCCTATGTTGATATTATTGTTGGCATTATGAATACATACATACATACATATATATATTGTTACCCGCACATTAGGAATATTAGTAGCAGAAATTGGTATGTTGGGAATTGGGATTACAGCTATGTCTGGATTTTAATTAGGTAAAATTGGTTATAGAAAAAATTAATTATCAAATGGAGTTTCAAAATAATTGATTACCAGATGGAGGCCCTAAATTGAAATTTCAGAGTCAGAATTGATCACTAAATGGAGTTTCAAAAAATGGGGTGTTTGAGTGATTTTTTTTATATTAAAAAACAGAATTTCAAGAGCTACAATTCATTATGAAGGCGTATCCAAACACATCCTAATTTTTCTGTACGCGGGGTTTAACAGGGAAGCAGATTCCATGGCCAAATGAGCCTTCAACTATGATAGTCTCTATCAAACCTACGATGAACGTCCGTTTTTTCTTTGTTTTTTTTCCCCCTTTTAAACATAGGTGGGTTATAATGATGGGTTTTCCTTTTGTCTTATGTTATTTTATTTTTTCTGTAGTGGCAGCTTGTAATCCTTTTGCATGTTTACTGATACATGTTCCGTTTATGATTAGAAAAAAAAAATGTTAAATCAGCGTATCTACTAATTCAATGTCATCTTGAATAAAAAAAAATGTTATCTCGAAAAATATTGGTATTTTTTTCTTTCAATCAAGGTATCTACTAATTCAATGCCGTCTTGAATTAAAACAAATGTCATTTCCAAAAATATTGGCATTTTTTCTTTCATTTTTTCCAATTTAAAAAGTTGGTTTGTTATTTAACAATAGACAAACATTTTTTTTTTATGATAATGTATCTAGATCTATTTCTGTATGCCTATAAAACTTCTAAACTATTTTATTCATAAATGGCATGATACTTTGTTCAAAGCACAAGATTTCCTTTCTAATTTAAATAAAATTATTTTTTTTAATGCAAATTGAAATACTTTCATTCACTAAGGAAGACAAAACTCACTAAGGAAGACAAAACAAACTACAAGCAGAATTAAAGTAAAAATAAAAAAGAAAAAACCCGAAGCAATTGTCTCTCATTATTCACCTCCTCCATAGGTGAAGAATGATTAAAAAAAAAAAAAAAAGAAAAAATAGCTCTTGGCATTCTCTTGCATGTGTGAAGCGCTCTTCTGCGTCCGTACCTTATTCTTTGTTTGCTTTGTGTGCTCCTTGGTTTTCTCTAGCAGCAAGATGAAATCCGGGCGCGCGGCCTGTTGTTCACCAAGCAGATTGCCGTACATTTGCTTCCCTTTAAACAAGATTAATAGGAACATGCCAATCTTTATGGAGAAAATTAGTAGTTTCAAGAATAAAGAAAGAGATTGGAGTAGTAGTATAAGCATCGACATAGAAAGATTGAGCTACAGTACTCAACATTGAGAGGTGATCCGCCACTTGATTATCAATCCCTTTTCAATCCACTATATCTAAATCAAATTTTTGTTGCAGCGACACCTATCTAATTAAGTGATCTTTGAAGTCCTTCTTGCTAAAGAGATCTTCAAGGTGGAATGATCAGCGTAGATGGTCATTTTGATACCCCAATCTCACAAGCAAATACACTGTAAGGAACCCTTTATCAATAGTGGTGCAGTTAAGTTGGGCACATTCCAATGTCATACTTGATGGGATGGAGTATCCTGTCCCTCTTCTCACCAAGCATCGCAATATAACAGCCAAATCACTAACATCGGTTGTAATGATAAAGGGTAAGTTTCAATGTCACAAGCCTCCTTTTGAGCTCATCAACAGCTTCTAGGAACTCATCATCAAACTTAAATTCTACATCTTTCTCAAGAAGATTGCACAAAGGCTTGATTGTTTTGAAAAAAATCTTTTGAGAACAGGTGATGGAACCTTGTATGGCCAGGAAAACTTCTAATACCCATGACATTAGATGAAGGTTGTAATATCTCCTAACATTACTGTAACCTTATGTTAGATGAGATGTGTAACATCTTGAATTTCAATTCAAGAGACTAATTGCCACTATAACATTTTTGTTACCTGGGAATAATTCAAAAGTGTTGCTATATGCTTGAAAAATATTGCCTAAAGTTATAAGCAATAGTTTTTAAGTGTTTTTAATTTGAGTGTTGCCTATTTCTTTAGACAATAGTTTTTTTTTATCATTGGCCATAACGTTCATAAAACTATTGCCTAAAACTATGAGATTATGCAACAGTTTTTGGGAGACCTATTGCAACACTTTTTAAATGTTGCTTATCACATAAAATAGGCAACATTTAAAAATTGTTGTGAAATAGTTAAATAGTTAAAATTTAATATTTCCTTCCTCCACCTAGAGTCAAACCTTGAACCTATTGAAAGGAAAGGTGATTCCAATCACTCTTCTAACTTGACTTTTTGATATTAAAATGCAAAATATAATATATATATATATATATATACAAATTAATTTTTTAATTTGTCCAAATAATGAATTGAAAAATTAAGAGGGTAAATAAAAAAAATTATCTACAAAAATTATAAAAAAAACTAAAAATAAATTTTATGTTTAGAAAAATGTCAAGTAATAGTTCTTAAATGTTCCCATAAAGAAAAACTATAGGCAACATTACATTTTTGTTTCCTATTTGAATAGGGAACATTTTTAAAATGTTGCCATAAAAGATTCTTTATAGGCAACAATTTTTATATTGCCTATTCAAAAAATTATTGCAACACTTAAAAACTGTTGCTTATTCTACTTCAGAGAACAATTTTCCAATGTTGCCAAAACTATGTTGCTTAAAGTATGGGAATAATACCAATATATAAAAAATGTTGCTAATGCCCATATTAAGCAACGCTTTTAAAATAGTTGGAAATAATATTGTTGCCTAAAGCAAAAATTGTTGTAGTGTATGCCAATTAGGAATAGATTAGTAATTAATAATTGATTACGGTTTGGATGTTAGATTGATGTTTTGTGTTGTTTGGTTTGTATGTTAATAGGATTGATGGTGGAATGGCGATTCAGGACAAACCGTGTGAGCACTAGTAAGATTAGCTTCACTATGCCATGCACTGCACCGCGACTCATAGCACAGATTTTGCTTAAAGACTCACTTTAGACTAATATATACACTTATTGGCCTTGAGCTTACATTTAGTGGTAGGATCACCCAGCTAAAGGTGTTCTATCACACTTTTGAATTATGATTTCCCCCAATACCACAATAGGGTATCATTGACTCCAACTTTACATCATATCACATCGATATTAAGGAGTTTAAATCTCTAACACTGCACCTCAATAGGCACTAAAGAGATAATCTCCAACACCATACCCTGTCGCACACTAAGAAGAATATGCCATATGGTCTTTCTCTACATCTCCATATAGGTGAACTCCCACTCTTATGATCATACTTTCTAAACCAATCATAGGTTCCACATTTACATATGTATCCACAACACTTAGCGTATATATATGTAAACATAAAGTATGAAATCACATATTTTCATTCATTTACGCAATGCCATAAAAGATAGCTTAAAACAACTTCATACATTAGATAACATATTCACACACAATTACATTA